CAAAATCGCCATATTCAGGTGCCTTAAAAACCATGTTAAAATTGAGTTAGAGATATGAAACTTTGCAGGGCGTCTAGACCTTGTCCAAATCGACTGTAAAAAAAATTTCATGTTTCAGGAGTATCGGGAAGTGGGTTTTCTGGAACCCCTGTTTTACAACAGATTGTCGTGAAGTATATATATATATTATATATATATATATGTATGTATAGACGCTTTTGCAGTCAATTATAGCCTACATTTAAGTGTCCGTAGATTCAAAAGTATAAAAGATACAGTCATTTCGAACCACAGGTCTTGAAGATAATCGTTTACACTCCAGTTTCCATTATATTACAAAATAATTTAACGTCATCATCATCACTTGATGACGTCATCAAGTTAAGTGTTTTTAAAACTTGGTTTTTAACAAAATAACAACTTTTCAAATCGATTTTAAACCATTAAGGAGTAATTTTATTCAAAATCTGAGGACATTTTTATCTTAGATAATTGTTCAAGCATTCTGAAAATCTACCGGAAAATTTTCCTACCTTGCTCCTTCATAAAGATATTCGCTATTGAAGTTAGTGCTTTTTTGAAGAATAATTTTATAAAAATACAAAAGTTGTGAATTAGTATTCTCTGGTGTTGGGCCATCCCTTGGGTTGTGGAGCTCGATTGTGCTTTCTAAAGGTCTAAATTGTGTTATAGGCTAGTTTTAAAGTTTAAAATCGAAAAGTTGCACACGTGGGGACACGCCCAAGTTGATAGAAAATTGCTAAAATTACTGAAAATTGCTGTTTTCACCATTTTTATCAACTTTGGAGTCCCGTTGTGATCCAAGTTCTATATGAAATCTTCTGAAACTTTGCTTGCTTATTAAATTATATATAAAATACTGATATGCAAAAATTTACGGTGATTCAATATTGTATGCGCACGCAAAGTCCGCTCAAAGTTTGCACGTGCGAAAGGTGAGAATTTTGCTCATTCGTGATCACGATTTCGAATAAATTCTGCTTTCCCGCGATATTTAAATGGAATTATATATGAATTTAATGCCAACTTGAATGAGTAAAAAGTGCCATATTCAGTCAGGTAAAATTTCGAAATCGATGAAATTACCTCCTAATTATTAATATAAATATTAATGAAGTTATGAGTTTACATTTCGGCTTTGTAAATTATCCTGACATTATAATCAAAAAGAGATGATATTTGACCAAAACCCATAATCATGGGTAGAGTGTACCGCTGCCAGTGTCTCTCTTTTCCAAACAAAAGGAAATGATATTAATTTGAATAACCGTCTGCAAATGCAAATTGATACCGAGAATGAAATCGGTCGCTCGCTTTTTCCATTCGATTACGGCTTACGAATTGTAATAAAGCTTATTGATTGGAAAAAGCGAGCGACCGATTTCATTCTCGGTATCAATTTGCATTTGCAGACGGTTATTCAAATTAATATCATTTCCTTTTGTTTGGAAAAGAGAGACACTGGCAGCGGTACACTCTACCCATGATTATGGGTTTTGGTCAAATATACCTATATAAATAAGTACTACCCCATATTATGATATAAACAATAAACATAATAATATGATATGAGTGTAGTACAATGTACTCGATAAAACTCAGTAAATCAAAGACAAAAATACAAAATAAGTATATATAACAGAGAAAAAATTCAAGATAAATAAACTAACATACAATACTGGTTGCTTTTTAAACCCCGACAAATTATCACTTAAAAGTTAGAATAGTAGGTAAAATGCAAACATTCAATAGTTAGAATAGATTACAAATAAAATATGAACAAATTAATCACAGGAAATAAATGAAATTAAAATGTCTAAAATACGATAAATATTATATCCTCAAACGGCAAACTTGTAAAAATATCTAGCTAATTAAGAACTTACTAACAGTTTAAAATTAGATAAAACTAAGTACAAGATTTATTTCATGCTAAAAAAGAGTTAATTACAACACGAGCTCCCGCTTCCGAGCTCGTGTTGCAAAGGGGAGGCCTGCCTTCCGAGATCGCATTACCAGGGGAAGCCTCGAGTCCAAAATTGTGTATCGAGGGGTGGGTGCGGACTTTGAAAAACCAGAAAAATATTTTCGGCTAATATTAATAATGAACAGGAGAAAAGTGGTTTTTCCCAACAATTTTTAGAAACCTAAATAAAAAAGTTTGCCCCTTGCCCAGATTTTATGGGGGGCGATGGCCCCCTGTCCCCCCCCCCCCTGTCCCCCCCCCCCCTTCCTACACCACTGTCAAAACTATTTAAAAAACTGCTTGATCAGATACGACAGTTGCGCCCAATCGATATTCGATATATTGATGATAATAAAAGTAAACTTTATTCAATAAAAATCGTACGATCATAACGATGGACGCAAAGCTACGAAGAATTAAAAGTTATCTTTACTTTAGGATAATATGCGATTCTTCAGGGATATATGCATTCTTCAGGGCGGACTGTAATACAGTATTCGTCCGAACTACATTTTTATATTTTGCACATTTATTTATAATGTAATTATACTCCCTCCAAACGTCCTATGACCTACCCAAACCGAATGTTAATTCCACAAGTTGCAGGATCAGGGCCCGTGGCTTTATGCCAGAGCTTTGACGTAGCATTCTGGGTAGTGGGTGTCTTCCACGAACAGTTTATGGTGTATTAAAAATGACTTAAGTACAAATTTATGTACACCTCTTAGTTTGTCATCCACGAACTGAGTCTTAAGTAAACATTTTTACTTAAGTTGAATCTGACATGGCGAATCAGATCACGTCACTCATGATTGGGGACCTGTTAATGGCCTGTTAAGGTGTGGGAAACGGGTGCAATTGTCGGTAGGCCTTTAGAATACACTTGTCCTAAAAAACGGGAGCATTACGTTGAATCAAGTGATTGGGTGCCAACCAACTATGGGAATCGTGCAGAAAGCCCAATTACGGTATTCTAGCACCCTGTCACATGATTAGCGATTAGGTAATCATTGATTACCTAATAAAATCTAGAACCTTCTACGACATTCAGATTCAGAAGTCGCTTTATTAGCGGAGATTCAATGCGGTAAAAAAGTGGAACATAGTGGCTATTCTTTAAAAATGTCGAGAATTGTACTAGTCCAAAATATTGAGTGAAAATGTTCAAAACATTTATTAAAATTAGTTCATCATACGTTTTACGTAATTGTAAACATTTCTTATCAGAATATAGTTTTGAAATATTTGAAACAAATTTACTAATTATTTAATTAATGAATTAAATAGTTTCTTTATTAAAAAGTTGTTAAAGAAAAAGTTTTTCTTCTTTGTTTTCTAACCACACTGCTTTAGACTAAAATCTTTTAAGATATTCAGAAGTTGAATTATTTGCGGTGATTAAGTGCGCCTGCATGCTAAAAAGGTACAATTTTGCCCTGAATCGCGGAACTATTGTGCTTTGATACTCAGACCTGCATGACAAAAAGGGAACAACCGTTTCTCACGCGTGCAATCGCGCTCAAGGGGTATGGTAGGATATGCCAATTGCATATCATTTCTGATAATAACTTGTCTACGCTTGTTCCAACGTTCTGCTTGTTGATTTGATTTTTGACCTATGTCTACTGCTAGGCCTAAACAGTAAACATCATCGGCCTGGTCGTATAGCTTAATACACTTATTGTGTAATTACAAACTATGGCATATATGTATGCAAGCCTCTTGATTTATATAAGGATTATAATATCATAATTGATAATGACAAAAGCCCAATAATAAGGATGAATTTAAATTTTCCGGCAAGATCCGGCACAGTACGGCAAGTTCCGGCAACCTTATATTTGCCCTTCGTAACAACCGGTTCCGGTCCGGCAAAATCCGGCTAACCGGATAATAGATCGATATCCGGAAAAATCCGGTCCGGCAGCCAAAAGCCCATTCCGGTCGGTTCCTATTCCTGTAGGTCACAACACCATCATCTCCACCCTGACCTGGGTTCCTGTAGGCCGTCACCACACCATCTCCTCTTCTGTTCCTTACAAATGACACGTCAGCGTATATTGGTTCTTCCCCAGCTTCCAGACTGCGTGTATTGTTTACAAAATCTATATCAGCATACGTTCCCTCTTCCTCAATTTTAACACTGTGTTGTTCAATAGATTTTCCTCCATGTCTGTTCTTAACAAACGTTACAGCAGCATATATGTCACCTTCCTCATTGCTAAGATTGTGGGGCTCTTTAGATATCTGTTCAGGTCTGTCCAGGCGCGCACAAAGGCCTTCGTTGTCATCAGTTGAGGGTCCAGGCTCATTTGATTGAATTGTCGAGAACAGAGCGTTTTGGTTTGCCTCCTGTTCTGAACTTCTCTATCAACCCCTTCTGTGTCTTCTAAGGCGTGGACAGGCTGTGTGTTTACTGTGGAGACAGAATGTTGCTTGTTGACATTGGCATGGACTGGTTCTTGGTCTTGGTCCCTGTTACTGTGGTTGACTTCTCCTCCTTCAGGTATATCTTCTTCTTTATTTCTGTCTCCTCGCAATTTGAAAATAACGGCAGCCACCAGTAGAAGCAGCAGCAGCCCGCCTCCACCTGCCCCAGTTATCAAAGGAGTACTGTTTCTCCCAATGCTTTCACTTCCTTGTTCTGGTTTCCTGCATCGGTTTGCAGTACTTGTTGTGTTGTCAGTACAGTCCTTGCTCCCATCTTTTAAGCACGTTTGTAATGCTCAATATCTGGCTTGCAATATATTCCACAATCGTCTCTGACATAATCTTCCCTGTACTTTTCGCAATCCTGTCCTATCTTTTTGTTTTTACACTCATCACAATTTCTTCCATTCTTCTGTTTTTAACCTTGAGTAGCTGATCTAAATCGCTGGGCTGATGAAACTGGATTTAGTGCTGTATCACTGGGGACGTGATGTGATTTTGCTAGCGCTATTAAAGTCACAATTCAGACGGCGTTAATATTCGACCCGCTCACTGTCCCAAATATAACGACAAAACCCCCCAGGCGACATCACCTGCAAATTACAAATCAGCATGCTGAGTTTCGGGTCGTCCCTAACAATAACAACAATACTGGGACGAGCAGTGCGGATCATCAGGATATTCACAGCCACTAATGTGACGATTGAGAGTTTTCTGGTGTCCTTGAAGCATCAGGCGGTGTTCATATCGGGGATTGTGTTGACTCAGACGGGACTTGCTATCCTCGCAACTTCTGGGTTAGTGATACTGTACTTTGAGAAGATAGTGCCTTTTATTAGTCTGTTCCAAACTATTTATTTAGATACATGTAATCGCGACGAAATCTTTAAATTGAGTGAGAGTTCCCTGCATGATAGTGGGACAAACTCACGTTGATATGTTACTAATGCACTTAGATCGAAATATTGCGCGCTTTTAAAATTCAGATGATAAACTAACATATTAAAATGGGGTATTCTTTTTTAATTCCACTACTTCCAGGATGGGCCTGGATACTCGAGTTGATTTTGACGAGAGAACCCGACTGCAGCAGCTGGAACAACCCAAAGTACACGCGGTGTGTCAGAGCCCTGATAGGACTTTCGTGTTTGTGTTTCTAGCTGGGTTCCTTGGTCTGTGTGTGATTACAAGCGTGATTTCCTTTCAGGTGTGATTTCAATTTACGAACAGCAAAATCAAGCAACCGCTAGGGTTGCCGGGGACAGATATTTATGCATATCGATCGTATCACCGTCTTTTAGAGCAGTTATTTATAGTGAATACAAAGCTCTTAACCTGACCTTTTTTCTAAGGTCGTCCCTGTTTATAAGCTTGATGACAGCAGACCAAAAGAGCTAGTTACCGATCGATATTTACAAACCGAGTATCGGAAGTTAATTAACGACTGCGCTTTAAATGGTGTTTTATTTTTAACAGGGAAATTTTATTGTGACTTCTGAGCTAAAGATCTGGTAGAGGAGTAAGAAAAAAAATACAAAATTTTGCTCTTAAATATATCCTTTAATATTCCCTTCTTTCCCCACTCCCCACTAGGCACGGAAACTACCAACGAACTACAACGAAGTAACTTACACCTACTTTACAGTCTTCACCATGGATACCATCCTTGTAGCGTATCTCTCCATATTGTACACAGCTGACCATGCTCACAATACTATGGTTACAACCGCTATTGTCACTCTTATAACAGGTAGGGTATAGCTAGAATTGCAACTTAGTCTGTCGTATCTGTTTTATTTTATAAATTTGTTACACCAACAACCACCAAATGTTGGAAATTATTGAATTTATGGGATCCGAGTGTCTATCAATAATTTTGAGTGATAAACATTTAGATAACATGACAATCCTGACAGGTTACCTGATTCTGTTCATGCTCTTCTTCAACAAAGTCTACATAATCTACTTCTCCCCGGACCAGAACAAAATCCACAACATCCCGGAGTCTCCGACTCTCAAGTTTAAGAGGCACAGAAGGGAAAGCACCCGACTTGTACCTGCTCTGGTTTCTACTCTCAGTGTTAGGACACTTGATATCAACCCTCCTCTTAGTCTCCGGCAGTAAACATGCTTATGAGATTCATTATGTCCCTTTTATTAACAGTGTTAAGCTGAATGATTGATGCAATTGATGTTTACAGTTTACAAGATTATTTTATAATCGGGTTCGTTTTCGTTTTATATATTACTGGAAAGCCCGTGGTCACTGGGAAGAAACTAATATGTGATAGAGTTAAAGCATTACCAAATACATCGTTTGAGGCAACGAAAAGTTCACAATTTTGCTTTAAAAGTACGTTAATAGTGCGTGGTGCTTTAAAGTACGTTAAGTGCGTACTAACCAACTATGAAGATAGGTAGGTGAGGCACCGCATATCAATATGATTATGATGCATCTCATCCAATTTGTAAGTGGGTGGTCTTCCGTACAGAGAGAGGGAAAGTTTTAAATCGTTCTGCCGAATCTGGACGATTTTGTTATATCCTGGTATCCTAGATATTGTCTGTTAAGCTGACATTAAGGCTTACTATATAATATGTCATGTTATTCAATTTCATTCTCTGCCATGACAGGGAATGACCGAACATTTTTTTAATTACAGATTCCAGCGGATTCCGAATCATCAGCGATAAGCGGCCAAAATTCCGGAATTAAAAAATTGAACACATTGCATTAATAATAATCGTCAAACAGAAGTTAACAAACTAAAAATTATAAAACAAATCTATCTATAAACATTCATTTACTACAATTCCTATGTGAACGCTAAATAAAAACCGTTAAAACAATAATCTAATTGGTATAAAACCAATTTATTTATAGTCCCAACACAAAATCAGTTGAGTTCTAAAATTTTAGTTCATTTGAGAGTCATATGTACAATGCAAAGTCGTATATCTACATTTCAGATTCATAATATGATCAACTCTGGTAATGCCCATTTGTCACATTTATGACAAAAAATGCTTTATTTTTTGTCACACTTTAGCGATTTTATTTATTGTGACATTATAGCTATTGCTGTTATGTCGCATTCCATAATCTGATCGTTTTCATAACGATAAATTAGAATCCAAATGCAGCCAAGGCATTCCTGGGAGTTTCCAAGGAAAATTAGTTTAATTAACAAACTCCAGTGCCAGTTATCTCTGTCGTCTGCCAGTAATGACGGTATGCATTGGGCTGACTTGTGGGGTTACCGGAGGACTCTGAAACTTTGGGTCGTTAGATTTAATGGTGAGTAGAAGGGTCTGAGACATTGAGAGTATCGAGATGACCTCCGTGAAGCTTTTACTGCCGACACTGTGTCCGTTCACGTTCAGCACTTCATCTCCAACCTGGAAAATAAGAAGTTTAGATTAAAAATTAGATTGCCTTGCCGTCATAGTTTAGCCTACATGACAAAAAGACGTCCTTTAGAAATCAGTTCAAGTTTGAAACCATTTGGCATTTAGACCCCAATTATACTTCAGCCATAATAATGACACGAATTTGGAGACACTAATATCCTTACTTACCGCTATAAGACCAGTAAAGAGTTTGTCAGTAAGACCATGTCCGAACCCGCTGATAAAAACCCGGAGTTTATTATCTTGTATTGTAGGGGATATCTGGAAACCAAAGTACCCATCGTAGGGTCGGTACAGTTCTATCACTTTCACCTGGACAATGTCAGGAGTTAATCGAGGTGTTAATGATCACAATGATCACAATGATCACAATGATCACAATGATCACAATGATCACAATGATCACAATGATCACAATGATCACAATGATCACAATGATCACAATGATCACAATGATCACAATGATCACAATGATCGCAATGATTACTATTTAGTTGTGAGTGGTTCAGAAGTATAATGATTTCCAGGCTCCCAATTCATATTGGAAACCGAAACCTTTTGAGCTACCCTTTGAAACCCCCGAACATACATTTAATTGCCTGGAAGTGGAATGTAATAACACAAACGCTACTTAAAGAACAAATAATCACAACACAAACTGTTCCGTACCTTGCCAGTAGTACTGTAGATAATCTTGCCAATACATCTGAAGTTATCCGGATCGCTGACAGGGGTCTTCAGTCTCTTCTTGCTTTGTTTGTAGTACGGTACACTGGTGTAGTCAGGCTGTACTTCTGTTAGTTTCTGGGACTTCATGTTCGGGAGTAACGCGTCTGAGGTTTCGTTTTGCGCCTGCAAAGTCTGACGTCATGTTAAGTTATGTAGCAATATAACTTATGTAATTAATTTAAGTTATGTAAGTGATTTAGAAGGCTGGGGTATTTTGGAAGGTGGTGCAAGTAATAGTATTGGTGTACGTGGTGCAGCTGTGATAATTCACTGTGCAGGTGACCTGGAAACAGCAGTTACGAGGCAGATAGTTTGGGCAAATGATTACAAAATGATTGCACGAGTTGAACATATTGTAATGTTTATCAAACTTGTGTTGTCTCTCCGTATTATACGGTTAGGAAATAGTAATGGATTGGGAACTTTCTGAAGTTTTGATAGTGCAGGTGTAAGTGACCGGGTAACTGATTTAATAATTACAGTCCACGTGCATAGTTGGTGCATAGTAGGTTAGTAGCAGGTTTTAGTGATATAGATTTGTATGTTGCCTGCAGTGGTACAGAGATGATATTAAAATTAGTTTGACAAGTCCTGATACACGTGGTTAATATGGGTTACAAATTACAAAATGATTGCAATTTCAGTTGAAGTTTACAAAACTCGCAATATCTTTATAACGCGATTACTTAGTTAATTAGATTAATTAGTTATTTCACCTTGACGAGATGTTTGAGAATAAGTTTGTGAAGGTTGGTAGGATCTTTAGAGTCTTCAAACAGATCAGGAAGGTTGGACTCCAGCACGGAGAGTTGATCAGAGTACATGTCTAACAGCACATTCTTCTCGTGAGCCACGTCTATAAACTGCATCGGGTTGTTCATCATTTGTTGTTGTTGGATGGGTTCAGCTTCTGGTCTGGGGTAGAGACTACTTTATATTAGAGACAGTCGTGATTAGAGAGAGTTTTTTTGGGAGTTTGAATTTTAATTTCCTTTACCTAATATCCTTTAGTTTTAAATATATTTTCTGATGTAAATTGGAGTATTAACCCTTTATTAGGTACTGAAGATGTTTTTTACATCTAATGTTATACAAATTTTGTTGGAACTTTTTAACTCATTCGTTGTCTAACTGTGGGAACTATTGATTTTTGATCAGTGGTGATTAGTGAGTAGTTTAGTTGTATTAGTTTAATTATATTAGAGTACGTTTATCTGCTTCTCAAGGAAGAGAAGTGTCGAAATAATTGTTAGTGCTGTGGTTTTAATGGGGCCGGTAAAATTTACTAAGCTAGTTTATCCGTAACTGGTATATTCCAGTTCGAATAGATTAGAAATAACGTACCTGTTATAAATCATGCAAGTCATACAATTAATCTAATCGCTATTAGTTTACATTTACACATTTGTTTGGTTGTATTTTTAAGTGCTCCCTTATCAGTTATTTGTTGCTAAATCGCGATAAGCGAACGCGTGCTATTGTACATTTATTGTACATTGCTTGTATAAAACTCAAATAGTGTGTGTAACTGACATTTAAAGGTTCAATATGCAAGACAAGGAAAACCTGAAATCAGTAAGCGATGATGCTAAGAAACGTGTACTTGGAAGCCTACTTAACAAAGCTGATGCCCCCAGCAAGAAGGTTCTCAGTGTGTATAGTTTCAGTGCAAGTTATAAGACCAATCTGAAAGATATGAAATCACTCACCGCAGTTCAACTAGAACCCTGTGCAATATTTCTAGGTTTTAATGTCAGAGATGGTGTGAAGAAACTGTACACGAATAAACAGACTCTATGTGATAGAATGATTCTCAAGATCGAGTCCTTGTTCGACATAGAATGCGAGGACTGTAACGATGTGTACTGTAATGAACTGGGAAAAGAACCGCTCTTAAGATGCCGGCTATGCTTACAGGGCTCCCACGATTGTGAAGCCATGGCCGAAAAAGCCAAGACCTTCAACGACCTCATTCAGAAAGGACTGCTTCCTTTAGGAGGATCTTGGCTCTGCTACGAATGTTCAAAAAAGAACGAAACACGCTCACTTCAACCTCCCCAGAAACCTACCAAGAAAAGGAACACAGATAGTATAACAGATCTATCCACTATTAAAGAGGTTGAATCTGAGGTAAAGGGCGAGGGAAACGACGATGAAGATGAAGATGAGGATGAGGATGAAGACAGGGAAAGCCCTAGAAGAGGTAGACATAATGATACCGAAAATAACCCCCAGATTTGCCGGGAATACACTATGAGGAAGTGTCCCCACGGCCTCACTGGCAAACGTCTCATTGGTGGTAAGAAATGCTCATACCAGCACCCCATCAGGTGCCGCTTTTACTCCAATTTCGGAGACGACAAACGCAGAGGATGCAGGAATGGGAAGAAATGCACTTTTTTCCACCCTAAACTGTGCCGTAATTCAGTTGCGAATCACGTATGTTTAAACAGCGATTGTGGCTTCCATCATCTTAAAGGAACGGCCAGAAAGACTGTTGGAAACGTGAATCTCACTGACAGAAATCGCCTGCCTCAGCAGCAGCAGCCCAAAGATAGGAGAAAAATAGAATTCAACACGAACAGAAGTTCCTGGCCGCCTCCTGGTGGTTATGATGTGGACAGAATGGGTAGTCTAAACTCCCTCAACACCCCCTACCCACCCACTGTTGAATATCAGAAACCCCTCAGACAACGTAAAGACAGTACATCTGAGAGGGATAGTGCTTTTTTAGAGAAGCTCATGGAAAACATGAAAAACGGAATTATAACCCAGATGAACTCCAAAATGGAGGAACTTCGAGGGCAAATTCCAGCCCTTGTCCAAGAGACACAACGGAGCCAGCTGGACCCGAGATCACGCCAAACATCCTCTCAGCAAATCTCGACACAGTTCCCACCACCAGCACAGTTCTCAGCCCAAGTGCCACTCCCAAACCAGCCAATGCGGATGCCGATGCCACTAAACTTCATTCCCAACTATCAAGGATCTTGCTACTGAATGCTCGGTCCATCTCCCCAGCCGCAACCAGCACTGTAAAATGGAAGATTCCATTCATCCAAGACCACATACTTGACGACCTAGGAAGACCCCCGGTCCCTATTCTCGCTATCACTGAATCATGGTTGAAGCCATATATCAGTGATGCTCAAATAGCTATAGATGGGTACAACAGTCTTAGAGCAGACCGTCATAGTCGAAAAGGTGGTGGTTGTGTGCTTTACGTTGAAAACTCGCTGCTAGTATCAGATACTGTAAATTTTAGTGACAAACACTGCAGTATGCTGCATTGTTTCATAGACTCTATGAACGCCCTTGTCTCCGTGATATACCGCCCACCAGATGCTCCTCCCGGATCCTTCAAAGCAGTCCTGGACCAGGTGCAGGAGAAACTAAATAACTTGACATCGAACGATAGATCACCTGACATCTACATTATGGGGGATTTCAACCTCCCAAATATAGATTGGGACTCTTGCCAAGCTTTACCTGGTCAACCGCTTTGTGACCAGCAAGCTTGTTCCGAACTAATTGATTTCATGGAGAGAAATTTCTTGACACAAATGATCTGTAAGCCCACGAGAAATAACAACACCATCGATCTCGTCCTCACAAATAAACCACAGGACACAGTTGAGACAAATATCTCCGAATGCCAACTATCTGACCACAGGCTAGTCGAGCTCGTTCTCGGACATAACCCGCTCTGCCCAAAAGAACATACTCCTATATCTTTCGACAGAAACTCTTTTCGGGCGACTGATTTTCATAGAGCAGATTTTGAAGCAATGAACGATCGTTTAGAAGCTGTTAACTGGATCTCTTTGAGAGAACTCTGTTATGAAGATGAAGATGGAAGTGCCTTTCTGGAGCTGATACGCCTAACTGTCCTCCAGATAACCCTCCTAAACTCGCCTTCTAAAGACCCTACTGGATCTGGCCCTTCCCGCCCCCGTAGAAGTCGCCAAGTCCGTGAAAAATACACAATGAAGAGGAAAAGAAGAAAACTCAATGCCCAAATAAGTGCACTTACTCAAAACAACCCAACTTCGAGAAAAATCGAAAAGCTGAAAACCGAAGTGAATCTTCTGACCTTCGAAATAAGTGAACTTGTGATCAAGCAACTTAACGAAAAAGAAGTTAAAGCTGTAAGTACAATAAAGACGAACCCAAGATTCTTTTATTCTTACGCTAAACGATTTGCAAAGGTAAAATCATCCGTCGCCCCAATTAGAGATAAAAACGGAACTCTGAAAATGGACCCAGCGGAAAAAGCAGAAATTCTCCAGACTCAATATGTCACAGTCTTCAGCAACCCAAATTCTGCAAATGTTGAAGAATGCCTCGCCGGATTAGATCCTCATCCAAAAGAAGATCTCAACACATTCACCTTCACAGCAGACGACATATCAGATGCCATAAAGGAACTGGACCCGTATGCCTCCACCCCTGATGGTGAGATCCCGGCCAAGATCCTAACTAAATGTCGAAGGACAATCGCTGAACCAATTTATCTACTCTGGAAACGCTCATTTGATAACGGAGTCATACCATCTGGCATGAAGACACAGTACATCACGCCTGTGTTCAAGAAAGGAGACCGAACATCTGCCGCTAACTATCGCCCTGTCTCGATAACCTCTCACATTATTAAGATATTTGAGAGAGTGGTCAGAAATCATCTTGTGGAACATATGGAGTCAAACAGCTTTCTCTCCCCCCATCAGCATGGATTCCGCAAGAAAAGAAGCTGCTTAACTCAACTAATAGACCACGTAGATAACATCCTGAAAACTCTCAACGACGGCAACGAGGTTGATGTTATATACCTTGATTATGCCAAAGCGTTCGATAAGGTAGATCATCAAATATTACTTGCAAAGGCAAAACGCTATGGAATAAAAGGAAAGACTCTGCAATGGCTGACTGAATTCCTGAAGGATCGCCTGCAAACTGTGGTCGTGGAAGGAACAAAATCATCCTTTCAGCTAGTAATCAGTGGGGTACCCCAAGGAACAGTATTGGGACCCATTCTTTTCATTCTATACATTGACGACCAACTTGATACATTGGTTACCGCTCTGGGAAAGGTGTTTGCTGACGACACCAAGCTCATTGGAAAAATCATGGACTTAGCTACCAAAAGCCTACTTCAAGACGACCTCCTAAATGTAATCGCTTGGGCCCTGAAGAACAACATGCAACTAAATGAGGCCAAATTCGAAATATTAAATTACAGCTTGAACAATTCATTACTGTTAAGAGAATTGCCCTTCACCAGTCAATATTCCTGTTACAATTTAACAAATGGAAGAACTATTGACCCAGCCAAAACTGTGAGGGACCTAGGGGTTCTCCTGTCAAATGACTGCTCCTGGTCTTCTCACATACAGCAGATGGCTAAAACAGCAAGGACGATGACGTCATGGGTCCTTAGCGTATTCAGATATAGGTCACGCTTCCTCATGCTCACACTCTACAAAACCATGGTGAGAAGCAAACTCGAATACTGCTGCCCGGTGTGGAACCCTGACAAGATCAGCGATATAGAAGCTATTGAAAGCATCCAACGACACTACACTCGTCGAATCAGTGGCTGCCAGAACCTTGATTACTGGGAACGCCTGCAGAACCTGAATCTTCTCTCATTACAGAGACGCAGAGAACGATACATCATAATCCATACATGGAAGATGATGAATGGATTAGCTCCGAACGACATCAACATGCAGTTCAAGGAAAGCTCCCGACACGGTGTAAAGGCCACTGTGCATGCATTTAACAAAAAGGCACAATGCTCAATCTCGACCCATTATGAAAACTCTTTTGGAGTAAAAGCAGCCAAACTATGGAACCTGCTCCCCAAGGAAGTTAACACAATCCAAGTCTTGGAAACTTTCAAATCCTCCCTTGCTAAATTCCTGAAAGGCTTCCCGGACACCCCGCCCACAAAAGGGTATACCGCCATCACAAATAATTCTCTTCTGGAATGGACTCTACAAAAAGATCTAAGCCAGGAGTGATTGGAGGACGTACTTGATACTGTTGTCCAGAAGCGATCCCTGCCGAACCTACCTAAAGTAACCTAAAGTAACCTATTCAGACAATCCGGATAAATTCGCTGTTCTCTTTAATTAAGCTTCGAAAATAAACGACCAAGTGGCACCAGGCTTTTTGTTTTGGCAGCAATCATGACATTATAAAACAGAGTTCATACTTAGTTTCAGAAATAAACGACCAGATGCCATAAAGTTACAATAAGATTTAATAATAAAGCACAATTATATCTTGAAAAGATGTCCAAACTGTCTCCACCCAGCTTGTCTCCGCCAACAAAAGCAACAATTAATCAGTACTAACCCGTGGGATCCGGGCTGATATCGCTGTGGTACAGACTGGACTGGGTTTCTAGGGTTACCAGGGTTACCAGGGTTACCAGGGTTTCGGATGCTTCCATTCTTACCGGGTAGCGTGCTATCCAGGTTCGGGTTGTAGTAGTTACACAAACTGAGGGGGTCATTATTTTACCATTAATACCATAACTGCCAAATTAGGAGAGGTAACTTCACAAACGAACATTTCAAGTGTCAAGTGATCTACTTGAATTACCACTATACAAGGCATCTGCCTGATTAAACACGTCTAAATAGCCAACCTTTGGTCGCCTGTCAGGTTATCTGATAAGAATTCAACCTGTGCTCCATTACATTGGCGGAGCGTCTCGGACCAGCACATGTCAGTAGGTTATAACACTTATATGAACCGTCATGATTTATGAGCATAATATTATTTTCTACGCACCTGCTATTTTTTTGCGCATCAGTCAGCTGATCGGTAGTCATTTTGGGTTCTTTCTTTATCTTGAGCTTGGCTACTGCTGCGTCGATGTCGAAGTGATAGCCTCTGACTTTGCCATTGACTGGTTTTGCTTCGACTTTTCTCTCTGAACTCACAGTGCTACTCGTTTCGAGAGGACACCTGAAATGACGAAGTTACAGATTTAACACCTTTCATCAAATAAATTGCGACGCTAAAAAATATGCAGTATACTTTACTGTCCCATTGAATTGCGTAGGGCCCTTTGAGCTTTGATGATTAATTTCACAAATTTAATACCTAAGTATATTCTTGACTACATGACGTGCATGATCGCCTTTCATTCGTGGAGTGCGCGTGATTTGTGGGACCACTTCTGGTCAACGTATATACTCGTATTTGAGACTTAGTTTTATTTATTTGTCGTTCTAAAGGTCGGCTGAAAAATAGGTTGAAAGGAGAATATTCTCCACTTGATGAATCTAAAGAATTTTAACAATGTTTGACGTAGTTCCAACCTGCCGTCGCTCCTAACATTGTCCTCCACGGAGGTGGTGTTACTCCCAGAGTCTAACCTAGCGTGGTTTATCGTCTCTCGTAACCAGTTGTGAACGTCACGTGGTATAGGGGACGAGGGTGCTGCTTCCTCTGAGGAAACGTACTAGTTAGTGCCAGTGGTATGGGGTTGTCAGTGGTTAACGACTAGACTAAAGTAGAAACCAGCTCATATAAATCCATTACATTGATCTTAGATCTTTAACATTTCTAGAAACTTAACACAAAGTGCTGGATATTGGACAATGTTTGTATCGTTAACATCATGTACAAAATCTTTAGCCAATGTTAACTACATGTTGGTGACAGTTACGAAGTCATTTCCATAATCCTCTTCCGTTTTTAGTACCTTTCCTGTATCCAGGTTCAGTTATCCTAGTGAGCTCATCCTCAGGATCACTTGAATCAGAACAACTGTCTACGTGTAGAGACACCATGCCTCCTTTAGAGCGAGTATCTGAGATGTGAGCTTGGTCAGTATATTTTGGAGGACTTCACCGCTTTGACGCACCGCGCAACTTAAATCATACTTACTTCGCATCGAAGACGAGATCTTGCAGAGCAACGATCTGGAAGAGTTGACATAGTCAATCAAGGTCAGTATTACTTATAAATTACCTTGTAAGCAGCTTTTAGTTGTATGTAGCATCCCTCTCTGCGCCGAATATTTGATTAATTTAATAACTATTGTATTTGTACTACAGATTGTAGTAACAACTAAGTATTATCAACTAAGCGTGAGGTCCACTGATCAAACAGTCCGTGACTGAGATAGATTGCTCTTCTTCACGAGGTCTCCAACCAGTTTGAGTTTGTCACGTGTTAAATCACCTCATAACAGTGATCTACTTGTGATATAACTCTACTTGTAATATAACTCTACTTGTAATATAACTCTACTTGTGATATAACTCTACTTGTGATATAACTCTACTTGTGATATAACTCTACTTGTGATATAACTCTACTTGTGATATAACTCTACTTGTGATATAACTCTACTTGTAATATAACTCCCGATATTGTGTCAAGGTCCTTTATCCTAATATTATTGCTTGTTGGACGTTGATATATTTAAAATATTAGTAATGTTATTACCATCAAAAGTTATAATTGTTACATGCCTTGTTCATTAACACTGAGTGGGGTCTTACGTGGTTCCGTTATATTTGAGATTTAATTTAACTAGTACTAAATATTTGTATTAATACTACAAAATATTTGTATTATTATTTAACACTAGTGTAACCCGGCCTACGGCCGGGATTTCACTGCCGCAGTTAAAAAGGGTAGGAGTAATTACCCGCTGAGTCAAAACCCGCATTAGGTGACCCAATAGTTTCTTAAACAATAATCTCATAATCAGTTATTTCTTGTGGATAATTAAGTCATTATTAGCCATGAGGCACCACACTCCATGATCATAAGGTCTGAACACCGAGTATTACACCTCATCACTCCCGTCTTGAACCGCTTTCTATTTTTATTTAAATCGTTATAGAAATTAACCCTTGTTAACTCCGCACCACACCCGCATATTATATTTGAAAACACGCATAACATTGTCGTATGAACTCTCTCTCTCTCTCTCTCTCTGCAGTCCAAACAGACCCCAAACACTAACAGTCCCCCCTCCCCTAATAAGCTTAAGGTATAACATTACAGCGAATCTTCCAGGCTAATCCAATTATGACGCTACTTAAATGCAGCTATAACATATTACACAGTAATGAGAGAGAGAGAGCAAGCCCCGTAACTCTTGCCGTTCTGCTCACGCAATTTTATGTAACATTTGTGGTACAAAACCATCAATTAAACCACTTACCATCGGCCGATTTAAAAAAAAAATTCCTATGGGCTTCATCAGAGTTTTGTCGACACTATACCGAAAAAATCAGTCCCGTAACTCTTACCGTTTTCTTTGTATAACCGACCGGAAATTACACACGGACAGACAGACAGACAGACACACACACACACACACACACATTCTGGTGTTATTAAGGTGATTATGGTTTATGTGTCCTACTGAAAAACCGACAGCAAGGTCAAATTAACAGTGATTGGTTATCAATGAATTGGACAAATCAAACTAATGCGAGCTCTACAATCTAATTGGGCTCAAATTGTGGCCAATTTTTTGTAGCCTATCGTCTAAAAACTTAATTTCTACATTTCTCACCGAAGTTTTTATCTTGAAGCTTTGCGACGTTTTCGTAAACTTGATCCGTTTTGATGGGAACTCTAGGCGGGACGTGTGGTGGCTGATAAGGGTAGCTAGGTGCATCAGGTCTTTTCATTGGATCTGATCTATCAAGTGGGTCCGATCTGTCGAGTTTATCCCGATCAGATCTATCTAGTGGATCAGATCTTTCGAGTGGATTATATCTGCTTTGTCCATCAGATCTATTCAGTAGATCGGGTCGAGTAAGATCTTGTCTGCTGCGTTGATAATTCGGACTCTGCAGAATAAGAATTATTATTTACATACTGTGATCTGACTCCCAATACAGTTATCAAATTATTGTTATTATAGGATATTAAATATTCGTCTTAATTTAAACGCAGTTGAGATCCCTCTTAATTTCTGTCATACTGGATAAGAATAATGTTTACTAACCAATGCGGGATTACTTCGCATGTGATCCTCATCACATCTTCGTCTAACGTTGCGCCTATCCAAACTTCCGTACAATCTCCCGTTCTGCTGTTCCGGCCCTCGTGAGTACCGCTGAGAAAGGTACAAACTGGTCAAATTCAATACGTTGTGGAATATAACTTTAATGGCACAACTTTACAAAAGGACCTAAAATGTCCATCAATCAGCCGAGGCATAGAATGGTATTTGGACCCAAATTTTCTATACTTCAGAGAAAACGCTTCTTCAAAACTTACCTCACGCGGGGACATGTTGGAGTAGTGATCAAGATCTGATGCCATAGAGTTAGATTTGTTGTAGACTGGTTGTCTAGGATCCCCTTGCCGTGGTGTCCCGTACGACAGAGGTCTGGAGTATTCTCTACCGCCACTGCTCGGGGGTCTCTGACTGTTCATCTGTATGTGACTTATCAAGGATTCAATAGGATACATTTCAAATAAAATAGGTTTTAATGAGATTTAATATAGAGCCTGACCACTGAAATTTAAGTAGATCTTCCATTGCAAACCGAACTAACTAGTTTCAATCTCCCACCTTTCTGAGAGAAGTAGGGGTTGGTGGGAATACGGTCTCTGCTTCCTGCTGTGAAGACCGATGTCTGGATCTCTCCGAAACCCTGATGATCGCGAATATTAAAACATCAGTCATTAATGAATAATGAAATATACGTTTGCTTGCTAATACCGTCAAAGAATTGGTTTTGAAAATAAAAGAATTAATCAATAAGATAAAAGGTTAACACAACTAACGTAGGACTGGAAGGTATGCTGCCGTGAGGTCTACTCCCACTCCTCCCACTTTGTCTCTGTCTCTCCTGCCTATCAGTTCCCTCATATCTCTCTGAACCGTATGCATCAGGCTGTCTCTGTCTGTCTTGTCTCTCAACCACTTCACACCGAGACCTGTCTCCGGACGATTCAGGACTTCTCCCCTGATCATTTACCACCCTCCTGCCCGAGTTTGGAGTTCTAGGTGTAACATTAGGAGATCGTCTGGAATTATCGTCGAAACTAGCTCTGCCGTGAGCTCCCCTGTTAGGTGTGACTGGTTGTTGTGAGGGTGGAGGTTGGTAGCTGTTCCGACCGAATCCTAACCTACGAATCTCCTGAGTGCTCTTACGGACATTTTCCTGGGCTTGGTTCATGTCTTGCAGTTGAGGCGAATTCTTTGCTCGTACGGGAGGCACCGGTTCCTTCTGGGCGCTAGGGTTAGAAGATTTAGATTTGGAGGAATCAGAGCAGTCTCCGCTAGATCTCACACTAAGTTGAGCATAACCGGCAGAGTTAGCAGGTGAGATTGATCTGTTGCTTCCGCTCTTCCCGTACATAAACGGAGAGGATCTTAACGTTTTCGAGCTAGAACTCTCACGGTCACTGTTATCCGACTTCCCGGATATGTCCGATCTCCTGTTTTCCGGATCAGATTTCCCGGACACCTCGGATCTTGATTTAACACGTGAGCGTCCGACAGTTGATCGAGAGGAGCTATTAGAACTGACCAGACTGACTGGAGTAGCTCGTGAGGGGGTGGGGACTGTTGTCATCTCTGTGTTCTGAGGTTGGGGTTCCAGAGTTTCTAGAACTTTCCGACCGAGCTGCACTTTGTAGGACAGCTTTCCGCTGTAAGTCGAGTTGTTTGCGGGTCTTATCATCCGCTCCAACAGGTGGAACACGCTGAGCAAGTGCTTGGGAAGCTCCGATTGGCAGTGGAGTTCTGTGTCCACGGTCAACCTCTCTGGTGGGTGCAGCTCCGGGAACAATTCCGCTACTGATCCTTACCACTTCACTTTCACCGTCACTGAAAAGTGAGGTGACGGAATACTTTCTTCGATAAACAATCATAACAACACTAACCTTACTCTGTTATTACTTATTATGATATCTGCGACTATGCGACTATGATATTTTCCCACAGAAAAGAAAGGTGATAATGAAACGATTACTCGCCAGCTAGAGCGAAGTCGTGTTTAAAGATGATATCATGACAGGTACAAAATGCTTTTATAATCACAAGGAGTTGTGGATAAGGCCTCGCCCTGAATACAGACGGTTTCTTAGTTATGTTCCTGAGGTATGTTGGTTTCTGGAAAGTGCTGAGGACGTAATGAATTTTTCTCAGACTAGTTCTTTGAATATTTTTAGCTTAATTTTGCTGTAAGCAGCTTCTAATGCATAGGTAAATCATAAACTGTGGTTCCGGTGGGTAACAGTAAAATCTTTTATCATCGTGGCTGCTCCTAGTTACCTGGTGGCAGCATCGTCAGGATCGTCAACATAAAGACTGATAGCATTCTCACTAGGCGCCACTTCTTCTTTATCTGCTGCTCCTGAGGGAGAGTCAGGTTTAATGTTTATCACATTATATAAATGATTTTCTGCGACTGATGTTTCGGAAACTGATGCTACCACTGAGATTTTAAATTCATAATATAATGTAAAATAAGTGTAAGACCATTGACCAAACATTATGACACACTTGTTAATATTCACCAGGCCATTATTATACAATTTATCACGCGACACACGTTAATCACACATGTTAATGTTACTGTGTAATCCATCATGCCATGAATTTGCTGAAGGATAATTTGTTGCCCACGTGCCACTTGGGAGCGCGCATGTCATGTCAAATGTAATTTAGTTTCTAACCCTTATCTTCCGTTTGTTTCAAAATATCACTATCGTTGCATAGACGAATTCTTCCCGGTCGGTAAATCTTATCTATTGGGAATTGTTTGTGTCTTTTATCGAATTCGTTACTTTAAATATAATTGTAAGCCGTTTAATCGTTTACATAATATCAATTTTTCTTAATATTCAGTTTTGACAACAGATAGAAAACCTGATGTTATATATTGTATTTTAATAAACATAGCCACGAATTTATTAGATTGACCAAATTACAAAGCAGGAGCAGTTACATTATACCAAAGTTTAAAGATTGTTTCCCTGACGAGTTTAATTCAGCCAACTCATACGTTTGTTATGTTTTTTCTGCTCCCATACCGAATTTACCTAGTCCTGAAGACTACCATGAATACTTGCAGTAAACTGAGTCGAGTGATTAAGATTGAATGTCGGCTTTGTTTCATGATACGACGTTTAACACTTTTAAGTAATTCATCGATTAACAAGACCAAAACGTTAAAACAGTCAGAAAGATAGTTGAAATTGCTTCTTTGCCATTCTTATGTTTCTCAGTACGTTGAGATTGTTGACTACTATGGATGTGTTTTTTTTATTTCTCGAAAACTTCAAGTTTTAAAATATTTGTCATGCCACTCGGTTGCAGGATGTTATGATCATGTGTCAATTTGGTACGTGTTTCCACACGGCCGGCGTTGCCGTATAAAGTGGCATAAAACATCTGTGGCGCTGTATGCTGTAGCTTCTCTCGGTCCTAACAGTGATAGATAATAATAATTACAACTGCAACTGAAGCGCATCAATATAGCGACACTACTACACTACTACTACTACAATAGATCCAGCTGATAAGAAGGAGCGATATGTAGCCCGGGCTTAGTAAGGGTTTGTTCACCACAAGTTTCACTAAAGGTTCCACCGGCACCAGTGGATAGCTGCGGTCCTTATACCACTTGATAACGGTTTATCAGAGATGTGAGGCTTCTTATCCCTCTAGAGTAATCAAATGACCCCGAGTCTTGCACTGTCCTTATTTTGGATGCCGCCAGGTTTGAGATCACTTATTTTCGGTGGTATCGTTAAATGTGGTTTGAACGCATAACTGATGGCTGTAAAATTCCTTAATTAATAGCCCTTGGGTCTTGAAAGATTTTTCAAAAACAAAGGATTAATTTTGGCAGACGGCAATTCTATTCCACATAATCAGTTGTGAAAATTAATGGGACGAAGACATCTGCGGCAGTTCTATCACCTCTAGCTCTTTGCAGGTTACTGAGTAAATTGCTTAGCGACTGAAGACATCTGATGATGTCTATGGCTCTGGAACTGTGCAGAGTCCCAATACAATTCATTAAAACATTTTCGCTCGATTTAACAACGGTTATCTTTATTCTCACTTTTAGCAGGATAAAAATGCTATATTTCATTTAATATGCTTTGCATATTACTTATACAGGTGTTAAAATAAAAGCTTCTAAGGTTTCAAGGTATGGGGCAATATTTATCACAACTCCCACGAAATGATTTCACAGAATTGTGCTCGTCTGCCGAAGAAAAGAATTCTCAGCAAAGTTAAACAATGTTTAACTTTGATGAGAATTCTTTTGCACATCTATTGTTTTTGCTATAAGATTGTAACAGCTGCATTGTATGTAAAGAATGTGGTAATTGTCTTGAAATAACTCTGGCGAAACTGCTGAAACAGTGTGATTCATACTTCTTGCTCAATTCTCACCGTTATTGTTTGTTGATAACCGTGAACCAGCACAGAAAATTTGCTGTGTTCACCTCTCTTTCTTATATTGTTCTGTAATTTCTATGGTTGCGAAGTTAATTTTAAAGAAGATTAAATAACTTAAGTTATCAAGGAATGGCCCAATCTTAACCGTCTTCAACAACTCTCGTGAGGCCGACAAGAATCTGAAAAGAATTTTTCGAAGTTTAACTATGACATGACTCCATATTATGCACTTTTATTAATGCACTTTTATCGTCGTTGATGTATGCTCATATCTTTCGCGACCTGTTTCGAAAGAATAAAATAAGTGCACCGGAATATATCTGTTAAAATAGTTTCACAACTTGCCCACGCGATGCACGAATTTCCCAGCATTCTCTCACAGATTTCCACCATAATCAGTGATTTGTACCGTTGTACGTTCCAGGTTCTTGTGAACTTAGCTATCTTTGGGTACGGCCATGAATGTACGAAAACTTCACAGTTTCACTGTAGGAAACAAACTATTTTGGGTGTTTATCATTCCATCACATCAGCAACATGTCACCATGCAGATTCTTTCAATTTTTCAGTTAATACTAATAGCTTGGTCTGTTCAAATCTTTTCATTTCTTTCTAAGAAACGTGTTGATTAACTAGCAGGTCTGTTAGATTTCAATATTTTAATTATTTTACAGATTGACAATAACTGATACCAAGTTAGTTTTGTGATGCCTTTAAACCGAGCTCTCGGTCGAAGTGGCTCAATAGTCAATAACTATAAGTCATTGATAAAGTTTATACTTTATTCTCCAAGTCTTTCATACCTTTATATTCCTCTAAATGCTAGTTTGTCAATATTTTATAAATGAGTTTGTTAATATTTTAATTTGTTACAGTCTATTAACGAGACCTGTTATATTAATACAAATGTGACATGCTAGGTATCTGAATTGTTAATAGTACTGAGATAAAACGTGCTGATACCTAATTGTTATCTGTCTTCAGGTACATGGAAAATGTGTTGAGCTCTCGTGTGCGCTGCTAAACTTGTAATTATATTGTTCTCGGAGAGTTTATTATCATAAGTAATAAGTTCCCCTTTGCTACCTGTCAGTTATGTTAGTTAATTTATAAACATTTGCATATATAATCTATATGCTTGGTGTATACCGAGTGGTAAATCTTATCTATTGGGAATTGTTTGTGTCTTTTATCGAATTCGTTACTTTAAATATAATTGTAAGCCGTTTAATCGTTTACATAATATCAATTTTTCTTAATATTCAGTTTTGACAACAGATAGAAAACCTGATGTTATATATTGTATTTTAATAAACATAGCCACGAATTTATTAGATTGACCAAATTACAAAGCAGGAGCAGTTACATTATACCAAAGTTTAAAGATTGTTTCCCTGACGAGTTTAATTCAGCCAACTCATACGTTTGTTATGTTTTTTCTGCTCCCATACCGAATTTACCTAGTCCTGAAGACTACCATGAATACTTGCAGTAAACTGAGTCGAGTGATTAAGATTGAATGTCGGCTTTGTTTCATGATACGACGTTTAACACTTTTAAGTAATTCATCGATTAACAAGACCAAAACGTTAAAACAGTCAGAAAGATAGTTGAAATTGCTTCTTTGCCATTCTTATGTTTCTCAGTACGTTGAGATTGTTGACTACTATGGATGTGTTTTTTTTATTTCTCGAAAACTTCAAGTTTTAAAATATTTGTCATGCCACTCGGTTGCAGGATGTTATGATCATGTGTCAATTTGGTACGTGTTTCCACACGGCCGGCGTTGCCGTATAAAGTGGCATAAAACATCTGTGGCGCTGTATGCTGTAGCTTCTCTCGGTCCTAACAGTGATAGATAATAATAATTACAACTGCAACTGAAGCGCATCAATATAGCGACACTACTACACTACTACTACTACAATAGATCCAGCTGATAAGAAGGAGCGATATGTAGCCCGGGCTTAGTAAGGGTTTGTTCACCACAAGTTTCACTAAAGGTTCCACCGGCACCAGTGGATAGCTGCGGTCCTTATACCACTTGATAACGGTTTATCAGAGATGTGAGGCTTCTTATCCCTCTAGAGTAATCAAATGACCCCGAGTCTTGCACTGTCCTTATTTTGGATGCCGCCAGGTTTGAGATCACTTATTTTCGGTGGTATCGTTAAATGTGGTTTGAACGCATAACTGATGGCTGTAAAATTCCTTAATTAATAGCCCTTGGGTCTTGAAAGATTTTTCAAAAACAAAGGATTAATTTTGGCAGACGGCAATTCTATTCCACATAATCAGTTGTGAAAATTAATGGGACGAAGACATCTGCGGCAGTTCTATCACCTCTAGCTCTTTGCAGGTTACTGAGTAAATTGCTTAGCGACTGAAGACATCTGATGATGTCTATGGCTCTGGAACTGTGCAGAGTCCCAATACAATTCATTAAAACATTTTCGCTCGATTTAACAACGGTTATCTTTATTCTCACTTTTAGCAGGATAAAAATGCTATATTTCATTTAATATGCTTTGCATATTACTTATACAGGTGTTAAAATAAAAGCTTCTAAGGTTTCAAGGTATGGGGCAATATTTATCACAACTCCCACGAAATGATTTCACAGAATTGTGCTCGTCTGCCGAAGAAAAGAATTCTCAGCAAAGTTAAACAATGTTTAACTTTGATGAGAATTCTTTTGCACATCTATTGTTTTTGCTATAAGATTGTAACAGCTGCATTGTATGTAAAGAATGTGGTAATTGTCTTGAAATAACTCTGGCGAAACTGCTGAAACAGTGTGATTCATACTTCTTGCTCAATTCTCACCGTTATTGTTTGTTGATAACCGTGAACCAGCACAGAAAATTTGCTGTGTTCACCTCTCTTTCTTATATTGTTCTGTAATTTCTATGGTTGCGAAGTTAATTTTAAAGAAGATTAAATAACTTAAGTTATCAAGGAATGGCCCAATCTTAACCGTCTTCAACAACTCTCGTGAGGCCGACAAGAATCTGAAAAGAATTTTTCGAAGTTTAACTATGACATGACTCCATATTATGCACTTTTATTAATGCACTTTTATCGTCGTTGATGTATGCTCATATCTTTCGCGACCTGTTTCGAAAGAATAAAATAAGTGCACCGGAATATATCTGTTAAAATAGTTTCACAACTTGCCCACGCGATGCACGAATTTCCCAGCATTCTCTCACAGATTTCCACCATAATCAGTGATTTGTACCGTTGTACGTTCCAGGTTCTTGTGAACTTTCTTTGGGTATCTTTGGGTACGGCCATGAATGTACGAAAACTTCACAGTTTCACTGTAGGAAACAAACTATTTTGGGTGTTTATCATTCCATCACATCAGCAACATGTCACCATGCAGATTCTTTCAATTTTTCAGTTAATACTAATAGCTTGGTCTGTTCAAATCTTTTCATTTCTTTCTAAGAAACGTGTTGATTAACTAGCAGGTCTGTTAGATTTCAATATTTTAATTATTTTACAGATTGACAATAACTGATACCAAGTTAGTTTTGTGATGCCTTTAAACCGAGCTCTCGGTCGAAGTGGCTCAATAGTCAATAACTATAAGTCATTGATAAAGTTTATACTTTATTCTCCAAGTCTTTCATACCTTTATATTCCTCTAAATGCTAGTTTGTCAATATTTTATAAATGAGTTTGTTAATATTTTAATTTGTTACAGTCTATTAACGAGACCTGTTATATTAATACAAATGTGACATGCTAGGTATCTGAATTGTTAATAGTACTGAGATAAAACGTGCTGATACCTAATTGTTATCTGTCTTCAGGTACATGGAAAATGTGTTGAGCTCTCGTGTGCGCTGCTAAACTTGTAATTATATTGTTCTCGGAGAGTTTATTATCATAAGTAATAAGTTCCCCTTTGCTACCTGTCAGTTATGTTAGTTAATTTATAAACATTTGCATATATAATCTATATGCTTGGTGTATACCGAGTGGTACCGACTATACGTAATGCCGACTAAGGAGTAAGGACGCTACATTGAGCTGAAGGAGAACTAACTGCTTATATCGTAACTCATTAGTCATTACTGCTTATCACAACTTGCGCCAGCTAGCATTATCATAATATAGCATTATGCGATTGGAGAAGGTAATGAACAGATTCTCAGATTACTTGCCGACGCTAAGCACAACAATAGAAGGTGTTACCACTTTCCACCTTAACGTCTCCTCGAACAGGTTTCCGATTAACTCTGTGACGAGCACTGCTATAATATTAGAGCTTTTCATTAATGTGTTCCAGGTTCTTGAAGATTCAGCAATTTTAGGAGCTAGGTACGGCCTTGCATCCAGTAACACTTCATAACATCACTCCAGAATAGTGTTTGGGTTTCTCTAATTCTATCTAGAGAGTTTACTAAGCTTTTTTAAGTAATCTTTTCCTATTTTATCAAGGAACAAGGAACATACTAGTTTAATGGCAGGCAGCTATATAGCAGATGACCATAATCAAATGAAGGCATCCTGTGCACGAGTTAGACAATGAAGCACGTTTACTGTTACGTTTTTCCACGCTTTATTTTTTCGTTAGTATTCGATCATGGTTTCTTGGCTCGTGTTTGCACTGAAGATTCGCGGCAAGCCGGCCTCTTTAGTATTATTGTTGATAAATAGTTGATGAATGACTGGTTATTTATCATAAGTAATTATAGTTGTATATCATATGAATATCTTTTGTTGCAGCTAATGAACTTTATATCTTGAATAGAAAGCAATCTTAAAGTACATCAGAACGATACGTCATATACCGAGTTGATTGAAAGTGCTAATTACGCCAAACTCGTACTTGATCTGTACGCGAAGCGGCGAATGATATGCTTTTGCATTATTTTTGCGTATTCTTTTGTTTGTATTCTTTTGTGTTTGCATATGGTCACTTTTTCGAAATCTCTGTATTGGTCATTCAGCCAGACCAAATTTAACCCGAAAAACTATTAACAATTGATAAATATTTGATGTTTAGTTTAGTTGGAGAAATAACCATTTTATTCGGTCTCAAACCAACCACCTACCTTTATCTATTTTGTAGTTGTTACTAAAGTTCATCCCAAAAGCCCTCTGAGTCCCAGACTTGTTTTTAGCAGCTTTAAACCGGTCCCTACTCTTTACAACCTCTGATCTGGGAGTGAGGGGAGGTTGTGGGGAGTAAGAGGGGGAGTGAGGGGTTGCTTGCGGAGATGGGGTGTTGCGGAATGCTTGCGGAGGTGGAGGAGGGGAGGGGGAGCAGAAAACTACTGGTGGTAGTTGTTGTTGTGTTGGTTCAGCAGGTGGAACATCCGGGGTCTCTAGTCCTGGAGGGGGGTTGTAGATGGTTAAAGGGGTTAAATTAAATCTGACTTTATGGTAGGTTTGGTCCAGTAAGACCTTGAAAGCAAACATGCCAGCACATTCTCACTAAGTTCCTACTGATAAGTAGTACGAACTACGAAATTAAATTCGAACGGACGGTATGATAGTGGAGTTTATAAAGCTATAAAACATTCCATGAATATGTGTTTCGTACCAGTACTACTTAAGCTTCCCAAACTACTGATCCCATCATCTTCGTCCAGTAACTCATCATCTGTTCCATCAAGTGTGTCATCAAATTCACTCAGTATCACATCACCTGAAACAGAGATATATGTTAAGAGTTACAGATATCAGATATTGGTGGTCGACGCGTCCCTAACCGTAAAGGCCCCTACCCTTACGATGACCATATAAAAACGAATTTGCACTGCAGACTCAGTAGAACGTAGTCCAATCTAGTACGTGACCCGACTTAGTACGTGACCCAACTTAGTACGTGACCCGACTTAGTACGTGACCCGACTTAGTACGTGACCCGACTTAGTACGTGACCCAACTTAGTACGTGACCCGACTTAGTACGTGACCAAACTTAGTACGTGGCCCGACTTAGTACTATGCGACGTTCCTTTTTATTTAAATTTTTTGTGTTTAAAATCTAAGATCCTTATTCACCCGAGTCTTATTTGAACTTTAAGGAATTTAAGTACAATCATCATGTAATTTCCCTGTATTTATTTGGGTTGTACGCTGTTTCACTTCTTTATCCGCTATCAAAGTTTGATTGTTAAATGTTAACCATGATCTAAGTTTCCTTTTGATAGAGTCTACAATAATAAGAGACATAACTTGGAATTTCATGTGCAATCAATCTTCTAATCTCAAAGGAGTTGCTTGAGTCAGGAGCCACAATACTTTGCATAATCATAAGAGAGTAGAGACATCATTACCTTAATTATCTCTGGTATTCTAACCACTGCAACTGTTCTGTTTAACTATATATGTATATAAGTGATTGATTTTGGACACGAAGGGAAACACACAAATTTGGCTTGGAAACTTCGTTTATTACATCGCTAGAGCCTACAAAAAAGAAATAAATTAGTCAGATAAAATCAATCATAATACTCAGTCAAAGAGATTCAAAAATTTATAAAAAGGTCATGATTAGAGAATATCATGAAAGTCGATCAGAAATTGGAATACGATAAAATTGTTTCACTGATAGCGTGGTAGATAAAATTTATAAAGGAAAATGACGCAAAATTGGCACAAAATTGTTAAAATTAATTAATTACAGATATTGGTAAAAACCACAAAAAAACTACCTTTTAATTTCCATCCTATTTAAACCCCAAACATTAGTTCTAAACTTTGCACAAAATCTAGCCTCTTCCCTATCTAATAGGGAAGGTTTAGTCTTTTTCACAATCCCGAATTTGAAACAGTCAAAACTGAAAGTGTCCTTGTGTACATCGTAACAATGCATTGATAAGGCTGAGTGCTCGTAGAGGGCACGGTCGTCAATGTTGAACTTGTTCCGGTGCCCATTGAGCCTAATGTGGAATGGAGTCAACGTCTGCCCAAAGTAAGTGTCCTCAGATCCCTCAATAGCCCTACACTGCTGGCATTGTGCAACGTAAATAATGTGCTTATCTTTGCACGTGAGGGATTCGTCTAGATTAAGCTCCATGCCGTTGACCATGATCTTAGAGTCAAGATCGAACAATACCGGGCAAGTCTTGCATCCAGGGGCTGAGCACTTCTGTGATGTTTTTTGGGGACATTCAGCCTTATTTCCAAGTTGTCGATTCACTACCCTGTTTCCGATTGAAGGATGTTTTCGTGTGGCAAATATCACACGTATATCTCCACATATCCTCCTGATGTCCGGTCCAAGTTCGTGAATCAACTTCTTCAGCTGAATGTTGTCCGAAGAGTGTTGTACTGAAAAGACTAAGTTATCAGCGTTCTCACTCTCCTTAGACCTGTTGGCTCCGTGGGTGTTCTCCAGTACTCTGACAACTGCTCTCGGCTCGATCTCCTCTAACTTAACGCTGTTATGTCCGCTTTTAGATAAATCTGCTTTCAGCTCCATTAAGTCTTCTACACAGGTTGAGTCTTGCGAGTTCCTTTCTATGATTCGTATCATCTGGGAAAACGCCACAGATTCGAATACATGGTGAGGATGAAAGCTATCCGTTCGCAAGTAATTCCTAGCATCTGTCTCCTTTCTGTAGAGTCTATATTGGATCTGGTTGTAAGTATCCAAGGTTAGAGTGATGTCAAGGAAATTAACAGTTTTACCGATTTGTTGGTCAGCAAATCTGATTCCAAATGGTTCTGCCAGTTTGTTCAGTTGCTCCACGAATAGATTGAACTGTCGGACTGTTCCTAACCACACCCCAAGTACATCATCAATAAATCTCCTCCAGAGGTCTATCAAACTCCAGTTTTTCATCTTTCCTTTGATCTGTTTAAACAATAGCCAATGCATCGTCACATCTGCCACTTGTCTTGAGATACAATTTCCCGTCGGGATACCCTCCTTGTTAATGTATCCCTCTCCCTGATAAGTGACAAAGGACTCCCGGAAAATCAGGTCAGTGAACTCATGCAAAGCCGCTTTTAGCTCTTGTGAGAAGTTGGTATCACTATTGAGGGCATCCTCAAGAGCAGTAAGCGCTAGTTCAGGCCTGATGCTAGGATATAATGCTGCCACGTCTAGAGTAAAGAGCTGCAAGTTTCTAGAAGCGCCCTTTAGCGTCTCCTTGTTGTAGCTGTTGATCTGAGAAATAATGTCTGGGGTATCCAAGATGAACTCCTCCTCACAGTATGTATATAAGTAGTAGCTTAGTAGAGTGCAGCAGTGATCAGCATAACAATTCGACTGCGAGTGACCAATGTTCATGCCACATGGGTTCCTTTGTGTAGTGATACACCTACAGTATACCCCAGGCGAAGCTAGTGATCTAAGTTTGTCTGACAGTGCCAAAACCTACATTTCTCTAAATGGCTCCCCACCAATTAATGAATAAGAGGTTCGTGTATAATAGCGTGACAAGTCTAACATTTAGTTGGCACAATGCCAGAACAACCCTGGCACATTGCCAGTCTAACCCTTTTATCAGTATCACCAACCTGTATCATTAGTTCCACTGGTCGTTAGTTCGCTGTTGTATGTTATATCCCGCTCTGATATATCCTGATCTTCTGCAGGTTCTGTCATCTCCGATATTATTGACAACCTGGTGAGGGGAGAGTCAGAATGGATGGAAAAGAGTGAAGGTGACGGTTTAGATTCTTTGATGAATTTATTAAATCACCGCTCATCTTAGGCTCGTTTATGGTTGATACAAGATTGCTATACCTTGATGATAGTCGCATAAGGATCTCCTCCTCTATTGACCTCGTTACAGGAGGTTTGGTGTTGTGGTTAGCGTTGTAAGGTGGCGGGGTACCTGAAATAGGTCTCTGTTTAAATTATAACGACTGGCGTATCGAGAAATCTTACCCACTGATATTTTAAACAACCCTTTAATACTAAGTTTTTTGTCCGGTTTTGGGTTTTGTTATGTATCACTTGTTTATTTCCATTTGGGTTCGGTGTAATTTAACATTTAAATTACTTTAAAATGGAGAGCAATCGCCGTGATGTTAAATTTCGGAGGATCAAATGTCGTAGAGCTATCAATGGAGCCTCGTACTGACATTGTCTAGATTAATTATTGTAAAAAACTGCCGATACCACTCATGACATGATCTAACTTGGCATCATTCCAATAAACTCTTTCTTCAGAAATCTGGCCGACAGCTTCTAATATTCCACCAACACACATTAAGTTACTACTGTTGGTATCACGGACGTTCAGGTAATTTGATGAAGGATCAGAGGTAACTGGAAACCTTGCTAGTCCCGCCTTCTATATCTAGTTAATAATGTAATAGCTAAATTGCTGATCAAAACAAACCATTGAAGTTTCTGTTATGGTTTACGCTAACACTTGCTTCCTCTCACAAGGTGGCCGCTAAATCTACATTTTGCATAATGTTAGGTCACTGTCTCCAATGGAGCGGGTTCAACTAAGACTGCGCATAATGGTGTTCATTATGCCCATGGTTCTATAATATGTAGTTCTATAACGATTATTCGGCCATCAACCCATATAAGATGGGCTTGAATATCTAGACATTGACATAATCTATCAGTTCCGGCGAAACATCCACCAACTTGGTACACGTTTGTTTGCTCGGATAATTTTAAGCGATGTTCGGCATTAAATGCCAGCAAAAAAGTGGGCTATAACCGGAAATTAAGAGCCCGACAGTCTTTAATGTGGTTCCAGGATATGAATAACCATTGTCGTTATACCAAGAATTACCCAACAATACATTGTTTGGGTGTTACACAGAAATGTCTACTCATTAACTCATGGTTACACGTGTAATACGGAGAGTAGACACCCTGTATAGTCTCAGTACTTGTTGTGTGGGTACTAAGGGTTTGAGAGCTTGATCCACCTCTCATCATTACAATAACTCGTTGTTGTAAATACATATGTTAGTATGATGTTTAAGTATGTAAGTATTCGCTCATTGCTTGGATGAGCTTCTAACTCTTTAGGTTTGAGATCTGTTCATTGTGATAACTAGAGTCTAGCTGGATTAGTAGGTACATAATATTATGTTAGTCACAGTTTAGTATAGAAGTATAGACAATAAATATCCTGCTTGCCGTGTAATTTTGGTTGTTAGAAGTCTTACCTTTGCTTGAAGATTGAGATGTCTTCTTTAGTGCCATTTTTGTCAACTGTTGTTTCAACTGAGGTAGAAATATTGTTAATAAGTTTTACAATAAACATTATCCCCATTTAGTTGCTTAATATCGGCATGATAGATATGATAAATATTGGTGAAAGGTGGTCAAATTTGTTAAAACTTCTCAAATATTTGATTATTTGGTTCTCTTAATTTGATGACATAACAGTATAAAACCATAAAAGTTTTCATAATACTATAAGTTCTACTGTAGGTGTGGACATTTCTAAATCTTTGCTAGCACGGTGCTACAAAATATATTAACGGAGAGGCCGCGACAAAATTGACAGAAACATGACTATGCTAATATTCTGTAATATTTCACAAAATAAGTTATTTTTCTCATGTCATGCCTGTTTTCGAGTGGCCCTCGTAGGCGTCGTGTAGAGCACTGAAGAACTCCTCTTTGAGGCGATTAAATAAATAAAATATATTTATTAAACCAGCTGTGCTATATATAATGGTTTAATAAACACCACATAATGGTTTGATAACTTCTTATATCCTGGAGACAGTTTTATAGCCATTATCTGACCCCTCACCTGGTGATTCTAAACGAGTTGACTTGGAATAATATTCATTTCACAAGCTCGCATATTGTCACGGTCTCAACTCATTGAAGCATGAAAACACCGCTTTACAAGAGCTCAAGCTTCTACGCGCCTGCACCTATTTGGGTCGTTTCTTTAGAGAATTCTTTAGAAAAATCCCGTGTTACAATATTACCTTTGTTTGGATAGTTTATATCTAGTTCCTTTCACTGTTCACACTGTATACAGTAAAGGCTGCTTGTTGCTTTGTTTGTTTACTTTAACATATATTTAGTAGGGGTCATCACAGCTCTGAGCGTTATATAATTATTAATTTGTGGATCATTTTGCAATTTTCAGCCTCGTCATTGCTTTTAATTGCATAAAATTGCATTATTATGAACGTCACAGTTCTATTATCAGTAATTATTGCAACAGTTCTAGCTCCGGGCGGTTCCTAATTATAACTTACAGCTCCTTTGCAAATATTTCTTTATCGTATAATACCAACGTGGGCATACGTTGGCCTTAATAGCTCAGTCACTGAGTGCCCAATTGAAATAATTCTTTCTGGTATGACTTACTACCACCACTGGTTCAAGGAATTTGTCAAATCAATAAATATTAGAGTTCATTTTTTTCAAATGAAGGTTCATTTTTGCATTTATTTGATAGTTTTGATAGTCGAATCGAGCTAAATTTTATTGAATTGTGTTTGGCCATTCGAATTACGTTTGTTCTGAAAAAATTAGAACTGTAGCTTCTCAGATGACAGAGATATGAAGCATAACGAGTTTATTCATAACGTGTGATCAGGTGATTGGTTTACCTAATCACGTGATTAGGTGACCCCTGTTAACCACCCCGTTAAACATTATGGGAATTGTTAAGGGTGCCCAATTAAGGTGTCGTGTCACGGTGTCACATAATCACCCAGTCAATGTTGTTAACGAGATACAGAAAATGCTTGATAACTTCGTCATTTCTAATCCGTTTTGCCTCATGTTTTCAGATCATATGCAACATTTAATAATCTACCGTCTCTGAAAGAAATAGGCGTTCAGCATGTTCAGAGAAAATAATATAGGTGTTTTAATATTGAATGGGCGTAGTCTAAAATATTCGAATTTCCAAATTTTGACGACGAAATCCTCGAACCAGTAAGTACAGTATGCCATCTGCAAAGCAACAGCTCTCAAATATAAAACACAGCGGAGCTATTAAGGCCAACGTATGCCCACTGACTTTTGGCCCACCCTGTATGTTTAACAACACATATATTTATATCATTTAAGTTTCTAAATTTGTATCGATATTGTATCAAGTTGGTTATTTTATTTCATGGAGTGAATATTATTGAGAAAGAACTAAGAAAAGTTAAAGTTGAACGCAATTTTTGATGCAATCTACTACACGAAATAGTACAGATTACCTGTAAAATTCCTTTAAAATAATGGCCTAGTTACTCTAATTCTGGTATGTAATCGGCCCTAGTGCATACCTGAAACCTTAACTATTAGAGTTAAAGGCTGACGGAAAATATTCGAGTCTTACATATACATTTGTATAAAGGTTTATATTTTATTTTTTATAAAAGTTTATATTTTATTTTTACCGATACCATAATATCCTAGACTTTGGTTTTAATTTGAAGAAATATTGTGTAAAAACGCACTGTTCACAATTTTGATATTTAATGAATCGCCAAAATTTTCCCACGTTTTGAATTTTGATGACAATTCGGAAATTGTTCATGTTGGGAAACCGGCAAAATTTATTTGCATTTTTCGATATCACACCTTTTGCAGTACCACTTTCCACCTCTCAACAGTAAACACTGACACATGTTTATGTAATGCGCTCGGGAATGTTGGTTGTATATCTGATACAAAATACAAATTTGATTTAGCCATGGATGCAAAGATACAGAAATAAATTATTCTGAAGTCTCCGCGGTACTGGTCATCAAAGTAGAGTTAGTTAAATCAAGAACTAAGCAGCATACCACTTCATCTAACATCACCAAATAAGATACGAAATAAGGATTAGTAACAGTGAATATACTAATATAGGCTATAGCTCGGACCTGCTGGAGCTGTTGTGTAGTTAGGGGTGCGGGTTCTGCTGTCTTCTCCTTCTTCTCCTTCTTTTCTCCTGACTGATCTTTACTCTGGTTTATCTCTTCCACCATACTCTGAAACATTGGAGTGTTAGACGCAGGGTTTACTTATCTGGTTATCTTTGCTAATAGTTTAGTTAAGAGTCTATCTAATAGTTTAGTAAAGAGTCTAGCTAATAGTTTAGTTAAGAGTCTAGCTAATAGTTTAGTTAAGAGTCTAGCTAATAGTTTAGTTAAGAGTCTAGCTAATAGTTTAGTAAAGAGTCTAGCTAATAGTTTAGTTAAGAGTCTAGCTAATAGTTTAGTAAAGAGTCTAGCTAATAGTTTAGTAAAGAGTCTAGCTAATAGTTTAGTTAAGAGTCTAGCTAATAGTTTAGTAAAGAGTCTAGGTAATAGTTTAGTTAAGAGTCTAGCTAATAGTTTAGTTAAGAGTCTAGCTAATAGTTTAGTTACGAGTCTAGCTAATAGTTTAGTTAAGAGTCTAGCTAATAGTTTGGCTAATTACCGACACTCGTTAAGGCAACAAATTAACAATGGGCTATTTGCTGCTACAATTAAATACATGATTACAGACGCTAAGCAGAAATTATTATTCTTGCGGCACAGGTAGACTGACAGTTTTATAAGAGAACTGGAATATTTCATCAACCTGACAGAAAATATATGGCCATAAGTACCGAGTTTCTAAATTTTACTTCAACAATTTCTTTGAACGAGCAGAAGTGTTAATTTTTCGAAGTTTGTTCCAATGAAATAGTTTCACAACTAGATAAGCAAGGTGGTCGACGTGGTCATCGGAACTGCAAGTGTTGAACCTGTCACTATATTTAATACGGGTGTTGATTATGCGGGGATACTGGTGTATTCTTTGAACCTAACCCGAGTCTATCAGCTGTATCAGGTCGCTACCATCCAGCCGTTTTAAAGTGTTATTGAATTAAAACCGGGCTTATTCATGACTGAGAGTTTCACCTGACTACAGTCCTCGTTATCATAGACTGGCAGACAGCAGGAGCAGTCATGTGACCTGTCATGTGACCTGTTATCAAGTTGCTGCACACTTATAGGGTGTTTCTCATCTTAATCACCGGTATTTGAGTGTCAGGAGTCACACTCCCATTTCACTACTTAGATAGGTTACAGTTGAGAAAAGTGATCGTGGAGTTCGTTTCATTGCTTGCAATTGGCTGTTTGATTGTTCATTTTCCAAATTTATTGTTTATGATCGCAGTCGTGGTTATCAGTTGAGGTTTGCTGATTGCTCCGCACTTTTCAATATCATATGTATAAGTAGCTGCACTTTCACTTCACTGCTTACAGTCATGATTGTGGAGCTAATCCCATTTGGGAATCGTTAGTAAATGAAGCTACTTCATTGTCTATTTCCTAACGTCATGTTGACCACAGAAACAGTGAAGGCAATCAAATTAGGGATGTTATTGCTAAACGCAATCATAGATTGGAAAAAGTACAGTCTACCTTTACAGTTACTCAGTTAGCTGATGTCATTACTTCTAACCTGTATCAGAAGTAGAGCTTGTGGGTCCAGTTGGGCTAGAGAGTCCATGAGACTCGCCTTAACATCCCCCTCCCCACCACCAACACCAACACTCCCAGCATTTGGGGAGGACTTGCTTTTCTCACTCTTAGAGCGAGTTCCGGACTTTTTAGTTGGTGATTTCTCACTGTCCGACTTTGAGGGTGTTTTTGGTAAAGACTTTTCGCTGTGTTCCATCTCGAATTTTTCCTCGCACGGGTTCGGTTGTTCCTCTATTCTGAAAGATGTGAGCGTTAAGGTAATATTCTGTAGTTAATAATAATTTAAGTTAAGGAGTTATCTCTATTGATGCAGCTCTGAGCTAACGGTATGTAACCAAACATCTTGAAGAATTTTCTTGCTGAACTATTTCTTTTTCTGAATTGCCTTTGTTCGTTTAAACACGGGTTACTATTTTTAATTAAAACTATTTGTACCCGCATAATTATTGTTTCGTGCTAAATACGGTAATTTTTGTTACGCTTTATATTGTTAGATGCTAGACCACTTTTACTATTTCGGAACTAAGTCTTATCTACGCAAAATATTTCTCCTATATAACCTTATCCCACATCAGACCTCTCATATCCTCAGTTTGTCCCAACTTCCATAGCTACATAGTACATACAGACAACTTCCTCTAGCAACAAACTGTGAGTACGTGGTAATGTGATATATGCCGCCGCTGTAATGAATGCCTGTAGTGTTTCCGGGCTATGTGAAACTTCATTGTTGCAGTTAGAAGAGAACAATGTGTTTAGTAGTCTAGCCCAGCCATTAACAAAATACTAAAATACAGTAGCTATCAATAGATTTAATTAACATCTTTTGTAATATGTCATCTCTGGGAACGCATATTTCGACACTGACAGATATTTCGATATTTGTTGAGAGCGAGTTAGAATTACATCAGTCGACAATAGCATTCCTGGTTTTCGTTCTTCCGTTCTGCATTTTCAAGATATGAGGGCTGACTTCTTGATAGACCCAACGGGTTACCTAAGCTATCAGTTAACAATCAGCAGATCTTCATAAGGCAGCACTGATTATAAAAACTACCAATTTAAACACTGGAGAGTTAACCATCCTTCAACACCGGATTTAAAGATTAAGGATTTTTGCACAACACGATAAAGTTTAGCTTACTCCATTTATTAGCAGTTCTAGTTCGTTGGTTCTGGAAAGATAATTTTAGTTCACTAGCAAATATTCAGTTCCTTTACTCCTACTCGAATTTAGGGTAAATTTTCCCAATAGAATATTTGCGTACTTCACAATTTTATTTTATTTGAGCATTATTATCACATAATATGAAGAGGTCAGAATAATATTTCCACAATTTTTAGTACATTTGAATCATAAGAATAGCCTAAAAACTGTTTTGTATCCTTAATATAGCTGTAGCTACTAAAAAACAAATTTTAAGCCTTGTGACCAATTTATAACCAGTAAGATGTAAAGCATTTGGTCACGTGACATATCACAGGATTCTTTGAACAAATGATTTACATTCTGTTGAATCACCACCACTTCTTTGCAAATCACAAAAGCAATAGGAAGGGACCAGACAACAGCAGACAAATGTTTCTTCAGTTGCGTAGACCAAGCTTAGATAGAACATTCTGTAAAACATGGCTAGAGTAACTTACCCTTATTGGTAATGAAGGAAATACCAATATGGAAAAGTAACCTTCGGAGGACCAGGAGTTCTGGAAATTCTAAGAACATATCGTCCCGTTCCTTTCTACTTCTCACTTCAGCAGTAATTGTAAAGTTCCCTCACCAAAAGATACCCCCACAGTTCCCACGTCTATCTTAATTAGCATGTTCATTGTTCTGATAATGAATACTCATCAGAGCATTGCGCAATCTTCATGAGGATGTAAGTAATTTGGCAGTGAACAATAATATAACATTGCTGTAATGAATGTATTATCTCACAATAAGAGAGCTATATAAGAGTATATACTGATAGTGGAGCTGATATAAGATAAGAGTGTTATTATTGGTAATGGAGCGGTGGGTAATGCCGGTTAATAGCCGGTTAATAGCCGGCTAAGAGCCGGCTAATAGCCGGTTAATAGCCGGTCGGCATCTACTTGCCGGAGCTGTATGTAGTCTTATTTGTTGTTTACTTTTGCTGACTTGTCCCACTTTTAGTATTTTAGATTAATATTACCAGATCAGTGGTTCAAATAGTCTTAGAGTCATTCAAGGTATTTCGTGCAAGTTGCAATTAATAAGTATGTTTATTGCAAGAAATACCAATATAGTTAGAATAAGTTATATTTGGAGGCCCAGAAAGTTCTTTAAGAAATATTACGCAACTCAATCCAATGTCGTTCTGAAGTTTTTAATTGGATTGCAGAAGTTGAAGGTAAGATTTCGCACGTGCACTAAGCACTTAAGATTCAGTTACGCTAATGAACTGATAATGATGGTGATTATATAAATATTCAATAGCATGAGTATATTATAGCTCGCCAGCTGCCCTGCTTATTTAATTAATTGTAAATGTATAGGCGGCACCCTCAGTTATATGGTCTAACAATTGTCTGCTTATTCTCAGTTATCAGACATTCGTTTTCTTTGTGTGCTTATTGCATGCGGAGTGTGTTATTGCATGCGGAGTACAGTCTAAGAGTCTATCTTAATTTAGATTAACTTATTGTAAACTTAGTTTATACCATGATAACGCAAATAATGAATTAATAAACATATTTTCTGTAAAGTTATTTTAGGGTAATTAATTCACAAGCCTCATTAAACGTTCTCATTATTAATATAAATAAACTAATTAATAATAAACTTGTTATAAATATTAAATACCTAATATTCTTTTCTGTAGCTGAAGAAAGTATGCTCTTTTTGTACAGCTCGACTTTCCTTGGCTTGCAGATGCCCTGAAAGGTGGGAAATTAATTATTAATTAAAGACTTAATTAAGGTAACTTTCAGAATTACATCAAAAGGCGGTTTGATTGTAGTTGGTCGCGTTTCTTTTTCTGTTTTGTATCATGATAAAAATAACTTCGTAAGATGCCAGATGGTTCACACTTCACTGGCCCTTTTCAATAAGAGTTATTAGTTACCACCTGGAAAGCACGGTACTTGAAATTAATACTTAACCACGTGAAGCTGTTTTGTATCTTAGTGAGAGAGCCAGACAGACATTTTGTTCGATTTTATTGACGTCTGTACGTGAGCTGTATGCTTTTGATCGCGAAATTGGTTTGCAAAACTTATTCTTGAATATAGAAATGTTTAACATTTGGATATTGGGACTGGGTCCGTTTATTTATTTATTAGCAGACTTTTTGCCTTTCTGTGTAATTATAAACGTGCGCTAACTTGATACTGAAAGCAATTTCTGAGTACGAATGAGTAATTTGAACGTTTTTAATCGCACCAACAGCCAGATAATGCGTTACAATTATAACAACGACATGATAAATATGTCGTAGTTACTCATACTGAATTATACGCAGCTGGTCTGCGCTAAATCATTTCGTGTTATCTTTCCAAGTTCCAGACCGTTTAAAACACCCTGGTTTCAACTTTAATTCTAATTTATCAGACTTAAAGTAAAACCGCTGAGGAAAATTACTAACTTTCAAGATCAGATCGTTAAACATCTTCTTACGAAATTGCTTTACATCTTTACGTAACATGAATTAAACTACGGCAACCAGAATTACAACCAGGTGAAAGTTACACTTACAAAATTAACCTTGCTTAACCACCATCACGCAATTATTATTAAAAGGCAAAAACCAGAACCAGGTGAAAATTACAAAATTAAACCTTATCACTAGAAGGAGCAGGTGCTACTGGTTGCTCGGATCTGAAGTGATCCGTGCTCCCCACTGTTGAACTGGATACACTGAATCCAGCACTCGTTTTAGTTGCACTCGTTTTAGTTGCACTCGTTTTAGTTGCACTTGTTTTAGTTGCACTCGTCTTGTTGTCAGGCGAGGTTAGAAGACTGTTTCTTCCGTTTATCCGCTGTCTTTGTTCTATTCTAAAAAGGAAGGCTTGTTTGAGCATGGGTAGTGGGTAGCTGCTAGGTAAGAACTTTATTGTGTGTATTCATGTTTAATGTTTATTTAATGATTTGTTGAGCAAGGTTTTAAATGTAGCAGTCGAACACACATTCTAATTATTATCAACAGTCACGGACACTGAATTATCTTTGTTACCTGCTATTAAGAGACTCGAGAACACTAACTGGTTTGAAGTTAGCAGATCGACCGGACCCGAGGTCCGTCATGCTCTTCGTTGCTCGGGAGGGACCTGCGGAGATACGAGTGTCATTTGCGGGTCATGTGACATCCCCTTTTCTTTCTAGAATAATATTATGTTTCTTGAGTTACAAATCTCTTCAATTGCAGCAATGATCACACCGTTAAAACATGTATTTGTTGCTAAATTTGTTGATTTAAAACGTTTCACCTAGTTCACGGTTAACTTCAGCTTGAGTAAGCGCAAAAAAGTCTAATGAACGCCGCATGAAACTGAGAAATAAAACCAAACCAATTATCTCGTGTTTAGATACTAACTCAGCTCTTAGGTGTCGGCTAATATAAAGTTAAGATATTTATCTTTAATAGACGAATAACGTCGGTTAAAACTCAGATCTTTATCAGACGAATAACTGCAGGATACTAAGGAACACCCCTGATTACACGTTACTCTGTGATAGAATTATAGTGGGCCGATTATCATTAGGTGGTTTTATTCTTGCTCCGGACAAAAAACAATATGGTATAAGTTGAAACTTTGCGAGTCGGACGGTCAGGATCAAAGCGAATAGGTGACCACCTCGTTGATGGATATGTATTGTGACTGTATGGTCGTTATTCAATTATTAGCTGGTACGATACGATGGTCATGGTACGACAATCACAGGATCCCTTAGAATTTGCCGGGGTATTTTGTTTAATTTTTGGGATTTGGCCAGTTATAAAATCTGTCAACCAGGAATGAAACATCGAAACTAATCATAACTAAAACTTTCTAAGAATTGGAACTTACATCGTGGATCTATTTCAAACAAAACAATTCAAAACTAAGTTAGTAAAACTAAGAGTAAGCTGTACAAATCTCCAGTGTGTCATTATAAAGCACGTAGTACTGACATTAACCTATTTCAATTGAATATGACAGCACGTGCTGCCCACGTGTTCAGTTTCCATGGTAACGTGACCAGTTTCCAGCCCTCTGACAGGACCTCACCCCCCGAAAATTAGATTTTAGCTGGACCAGAGTACAAAGTGCCACCTGAGAGCGGAGTTAGGTCTTGTTACTCTACCCGGAACTCTCCACCAATGACAGATCGCCCAGGGAAACCGGGATCCAATCAGAGCAGAGCGTTTTATCACGTGACCACAAAAGATACAGAACCTTGGTGGGGTTTTACTCCAAGTTGCATGGTGGGTAATTGGATGGATCCTGGATATCAATCCATGCCATGTGATTGAATCTCTTGAAACTTACCAACCACCCACTTTCCCACTATCTCACTAACTAGTGATCTAGTCTTCTTCCTGTAACTAAAGACTTATTTCCGGAGATTACACAACCTGCAACCAGTGGCAGTCAGCGTAACACGATATCTGGATACAAATGACGGGGTCTGACTGGTGGTAGTCTACCAGATAGTTAAGGTACTTAACAAGGACCACTACCGGTTAGTTAAGGTACCTAACAAGGACCACTACCGGTTAGTTCCTAATCGTAATGGTTCCCCGCTGTGCAACTCTCTGGCTCTGAGCACGATCATAGGTTCAATGGTGCCAATTATTTATTATTACCAAGTCGCGTTATACATACGTTGCATAGTACTGACGAAGAATAAACAATGCTAATTGAATATATGAATGCAGTCGGGGAGCTCGTGCGGAGATCGAGAAATGGAGGATTGTATGTGCCGATAGATAAGTCCATAAACCTAACAATGCACTGTTGACTGATAACACTTAATTCAAAGTTGTTGCTTACATTTTGTGAAGCCTATAGTTAATACAACGGTCTTAATGGGTTTGTAGACCTCTAAAGAGATCGTAACTTACCAAGTGACCATCATTAGATTATCAGAACACAGTTTTCACAACACAAAACAAGAGAAACAAACTGGAAACAGGATCCTATCTCTGAAAAATATCTGTCCTTGTCCGGGCGTGAGTAATCAAGGTCACGTGATCACCAATCGACCAATCACAAGTCACGTGATAAACAATTGACCAATCACAGCTGTTTAAATTGTCACGTGGTCTCTGACAGATTGGCCCCGGTAGCGCAATTGCCATGCAGTGTCATACTAGCAGGATCATTTTGCAGTGTAATTTTCTGCTCCGATTCAAGCTGGACACAAAGGTTTCGTGATTTGTCAAGCAATCCAGCAGATAAAATTTGAAGACCATCGCCGTCATAGATTAGGAAAATTGTGATTAGCGAACAAAATCTGAGGGAAAATTTTACTGTTGTCTATTATTGTTTATGACGTAGCACGTATAAGCTGATTAGCTGATTAGGAAGCAGAGTACACTCTCTAATACTATAACCATCAGAAGAAAAACATCTCTAAGAAAAATACAGTTGCTCTTAAAGAATACAATTCCGGGTTCCAAGTCGTAATCCAAGACTCCTTTAACATTCATCCCAGTTAATCGGGAGATTAATGATCTTCAAATTCCTCCAAAATACCTCATTTCCTAATTCCAATGAGCGGGATTTCGAGAGCCTTATACAATTATACATGTACTTTGAAGGTAACCCTTTTCATTTCTTATCTCTTCAAGATGATATTTTGCAAGCTTTTCGCCAGATTCGCAAGAAATGCTTGCTTGTTTGGGAAATCCCCGCCGCATTAAAATTGTTTTCCAGACCATTTGATTGTTTTGATGAACAGAACCGCCAAGCTAGTATATCGACTGGGCGACCCGGCGACTGCAACATGGGATACACTGATTGTTTGAAGGATAAACATAATGAAACAATTTTTGTAATTTAATGAATCCTTTTATTTCATTCTAACACCATATTCTATGGCTCACATGATATGTCCGATTTTTTGAATGTTGCATCAAGTTGCTTTTCACGTGAGAGATAAACAATTGACTGCCAATTAGAAAGGTTCCGGATCTATTTAGAATAGACTGGTACTGTGATAACTTTCAATTTTCATTCAAGAGATGTCTGCAGAACCCATTATTTTAGTTTTTAAAGTCTGTTTCTCAGACATTGCTCTAGTCTCTACTTTAGGTGTTCTGTTTCCGTCTTATCGTAATGGCGGAACTTTCCATTTTTAAGGGAAGGAATGGATAGTGATGTCAAGTTCATTCCTAATAATAAGACTGGCGTAGTGTCCTCAAGGATTTATGAACAAAACATTTTAGGGTTTCAAGCTAATTAATTAATCACACCAGTTATTTACAAACTGTTAATGTTAATTTACTTTTCCCGGAAGCATGGCTTATCTTCGATATTTCAATCTGATATTCTTATCTAAATCATATTATGCTTGACATTAAATGTTAACGACATCTTTATAATCACTGTACTGGTCGATTTGGCAAGGTATCAATGAAATGCATGATCGAAACAGTAAGAAAGTGTTGCCAGATCGACAGCTGGCTAGATCGAGCAATATCCTCACTACCAGTCCTAGATATCATACATTGTAGGCTTTCTAACGCGTGTGGCGTTGGTCAGTGGTCACATCTAGCAAATGTTGAATAATTTTTTTTAAAATAATACTATAATAGTGGCTTCTTCATATAAATATAATTTACGATCATGATCATATATTTTTCAAAAAATCTAAAAGTAATCATTAGTTCAAAATTGGGAAAAATGTTCATCCGCATGAACGTTTCTTGGAAAATTATCCCCAGCTCTATGCTTCGGTAATGGTACTTTTGTGGCTAAAGACATGATTTTCAAAGACAATAATTACGGCAAAAAGGAGAGGAAATTGTCCATTACGATTTTTCAAGTCGAGGCTCGGAAAATTAACTCGCTTAGTTTCTCACCTCACTCCTAGAATTGTGCTCTGCAGGAGATTATTTTCTCAGCACCTGATGTTCAACTTTTCAACTCTTGGACTAACAAATATTTGTAATTGTATTCCAATTGGTTTTAAAGAGTACTATATTCTCGAAACGATCATCATAAGCGTTTGCATTTTCCAGTGGACACATGACTCGGATGTTCGTTTACCTTTCTTATATTTTAATTTATTTGGTAAATCTGTGGAAGTTTGTACTACAAAAGTTCAAATGTCTGCTTTTCGTTCAAGTGCACGTGTTGTTTAATCAATTCGCAGTTACCGATTTAATATGTATTTGCGATCTATATTAATGCCCCTGATATAGGCGAGTTTGGGCCCAAGCTCACATATCAATATTTATCTAAAATATATCAATTAGGGTTTATTATGGCTTCTAAAGTTCTAAGATACCGTATCTTACTATATATAAAGCGAAACGATATAGGTCGTCGAAAAGTGTTTCGATAATTTAACAAAATTAGCAAAAAAATGTTTTTAAATTTAGAAAAAGATCGCGGTTCGGTCCCGGTGAAAATTCGGCATTTTAGCCGGGACAAATCTCTATAAGTCATCTCTATAAGTCATATCTTAGTATATAAGTGTATATATATAAAGCGAGACGATATATAGGTATAAGTATATAATTGTGGGTGGCGTCGTCTGCTTACAGTGCTCAATCGGCAAGCCGAGAGCTAGATACAAAATGAAACGACCGGTTGAGTCAGAGAAATGTTTCAATCATGATACAAAACCATGATATCATCAGTGACAACTGTTGTCACTGATGATATCATGGTTTTGTATCATGATTGAAACATTTGTCTGACTCAACCGGTCGTTTCATTTTGGTATAAGTATATATATATATATATCAGGGCATCAACTTTAACACGACTTTCCGCAAAAACTGTAAAAATATACAACTTAAACTTTTTTGACTGGTTCAAAATGCTTTAATGGCCTTCAAATCAGCACGGACAAATAAAAATTGGCCAAGGAATATGAATTTTAGTGCCCGAAATTTGGACCCCGAAGTGGTGTCAAGAACGCGAATTAAATAGGTAATAATTATTTTATTCTCTTGAGTTTTGACACCGCTTTAGGGTTAGACGGGTTCCTGCTAGTCTTTATAATCACAGTACTGGACGATTTGGCAGAGTATCAACGAAAGGCCGAAAAAAGTAGGTTTTCGTCAGAGTTTAGCTTACCGTTCAGAATTCCACGGCCATTAGTTATTTCGGACAGGTAATGCACAAATTATTCAAAAAATAAACAGTCAACTAGAAAAACTCGCTCAATATCATACGAATAGTCCAGTTCATCGCTATAAGTTCATGAACGGTGTTTTAAAAACTTACATATTTTTAAAACTTGTTTGGAATGAACACATGTGAGTAATATGACATGTGAGATAAACAAGTGTTATTGTAATTCATGCTAGATATGAGATTTTAATTTCAAGAAACGAGTATATGTCACACATTAATAATCAGCGGTTGATTTGCTTGGACAATGTTTTATTGGACTAAAACAGGAGTATTTTTAGCCTTATAAACCACGAAACCCAACCCTATTGTTTATGTGCTACCAATACCTGAATACCGATCATTATAACTTTATAATTGAGGAATGAGGCTTATCAATTCATGTAGTGATCAAACTAATGATGCAAGGCAAGGTTTTCATGGTCCTGCATAGTCGAAACAGTAAGAAAGTGTTGCCAGATCGACAGCTGGCTAGATCGAGCAATATCCTTACTATCAGTTCTAGATACCATACATTGTAGGCTTTCTAACGCGTGTGTTAGACTAATCAGGTGCACTTACTTTAGGTCTTTAGTTTTAAAGCTGAATAAAACATGAGTCAGTTGGTTAAACAATAAACCAAACTATTTCACTAATGAACCAAACTCTTGAACTAATGAACCAAACTATTGAAGTATTGAACTCTCATGCTAGACTATATGTTTACTAATCATATTCGGATCCCTAGCAGCCACCTCATACCGGATAGCTCGGTAGTATTTAGGATATTTCATTAGCCGTTTGGTCATGTGACCTGGATATCGGGATCTGATTTGACGAGCGTGCATTTAATTAGGAGATTGTCATGGT